GGTACAGGGTGTCATGTCTTCAACCCCCTTTCAAGGTGTAGAAAAAAAAAGAAAAAGTAAGTGATATAGCAGATGTAGCAAAATGTTAATGATTAATGAATCTGAGGAAAGGTATGTGGGAGTTTTTATACTATTTTTGCAAATTGTCTGTTAGCTTAAAATTATTTCCAAATAAAACATTTTTGTAAATGGATGGAGAAAACCTATGGAGAAACAATGTTCTGTGAACCACCTAAAAACATGCCATACTATCTACACAGCGATTTAGAGCACCACTTCCAGATGTCAAGGAGGGCTGTGGTGAAGGGGCAGGCAGAGCCAAATTTGCTTGAAGGATAGGGAGGGGGTGGGATGAGTTATCATTGTCACAGCTCTGGGTAGGGCTGGCTCTCACGCTTCAGAAGTGCAGACAGGGGCCACAGAGGAACTGCTTCACCAGCGGCTGAGGGCACATCTCAGGCTAACCTTTCCTGTCCTCTCTGAAATCTAATACACATATAGTGATTACTTTCTCCCTCCCTTCTATTATACACGCTCTCCTAGGAACCGTATTCAACATTCACATACTCATATACCTCTGAGGAGCGTGAAAGCAGTGATTAATGGGGTGCTTAACAATAGTCCAAGTCTTACCTTTCTCAGTATTTTCTTGTTTTTAAGTCATTGATTAACATCAAAATAGCATGTTCAGTTTAAATTTGGAATCATGCTTTAGACTTGACTTGGCATTTTTTTCTGTGGCCCCAACAAATACTGGTCTGTGAGAACAGGACTGGTCTTAATGAAGTGGATTAAGGCATTCTTTTTTACCTCTACATTTTCATAGAATGAGATAAACATCGTAACCTTTCTTCAGAATGCTCTCATATCAAGCCATGATTTGATTTTCTACCTGTTCAGAATATCAAGTTTTATACTTCTTAAAATTGTAATGTATTTTTGTGAGAGAGTTGATAAGACAGAAGGCATCCCTGAGATATTTATAATAGTCCTTAGAACAGACTTGTCAAAGGTACTTCTAAAAGATTATTTTGGATCCTGAGGAGATATATTTAGTAACCGTATTGAGTAAGTTGTCACATAACACGACATTTCATTGATTTATTTGTCTTATTTTTGTATCTTACTGCAGGCAGAGAATTCAGCATTGGCTTTGGAAAATGAAAAGCAAAGAGAACAGTATGAGAGATGTCTTGATGAGGTAAGGTGAATGGAAAGGCCTATAATAGGAAGCCAGACTAGTTAGCGTTCTTTTAATCAGATCTTAGTACATGAATATTGCCAGCCTCCACAGATCATTAGCATTTTCTTCTTCAAGGGGAAGCTGTGATCATGTGGCCACTGAGGAGGAAGATTGGAGTGTGTGTCTGTCTCTTTCTCCTTGTCTTACTCCCATCCGCCTCCCTCCCTCTAGTCTTCCTTAATTCCTTATACAGGCATCGGTAAATTTCCTTTTGGTTATTGCTTTATATTCCTGGGACAAAACTGGAGTATGAATCATTGAATGATCAATTTCTTCCATCCAGTGAGTGATCCTTGACTATGAATGAGAATAACCATGTTGGATCAGAGTACCTTGCAGCTGCAATTGGATGTCATTGCTGGAAAAGGAAATCGGTGATAGAGTGGGTGGGGATGATCATCACTGTTGGCAGCCAGAGGGGGAAAAATTAGGAGATTGAGCATGAACAAAAAAGAGAAGAGGAAGTGAAGAAGAAAATTTGAATGGAAGAAGACAGGGCCACATGCATGAATAAACTCAATAAATATTATATGATGATAATGAGATGAGAGCAAAGATGGTGGGCATTTGAGAGTTTCTAGGAGGTTGACGGAAAGATTGAGGTGCATGCAAAACCCTCGTTCCCTCTCTGCCATTCCTTTCACACTGTCACACATCCTGCCCACAATCCATCCTCTGCCTTCCTGCCAGGACTGGCCATTCACCTGCCCAGGTAGTGCCCTTCTGGGACTTGTCAGTGATCAGAGCCATTGTTTAAATGGGATAACCTCTTTAGGCTTCTGCTCAGTACACTAAATCTGACATGTATTCTGGAAGATTCAGTTTGAGGTTTGTTGCACTGTGGCTGATACAGATTTTTGAGAAAAACAAGAAAAAAACTGTTTAATCTTGTTCTACTTTATCAGTAGAATTACCAATATAGCCTCAGTCTTTTCCTCCAACTAACAATTAGAAAACTATTTTCTAACCAACTCCTCTTGATATTTATGATCCTTTCTATCTCCCTCTTCTCTCACCTGCTATCCCAGAAGGTGGTGGGCGGGTCCTTAAGAACGTAGGCTCCAATCCAGCTAGGACACCACATCACTTCCGTGTACCTCTTTGATCCCTTCAGACTGCAGTTTTCTGTCCTTTGACTACTGGTCATGCTTGGAGCTTTCTTATGCTAGTAGATCTTGAACCTGCTGTACTCGCTTCCTCTCTGTGACCTTGTGAGGGAGGAACGCAGAGTCACCAACCCACCCCAGACCCCCAGAGTCAGAGTTGGGGGTAACCCCGCAATCCGCGTGTCGGCAAGCTCTGTGCCTGATATGAATGCTTACTGCACTTGCGATCTCATCCTCCTAACGCAGACCACTTTGTATTCATTTCTTACAAGGGCTGGAAAACTTACTGAATGGTTTAATATTCAGTATTTTAATTATTTAATATTTTCCAGCCATATACATTGACTACTAAGGTAAAATAGTGTTTGTGCCTGCCTTGCCAGGACTTAAAAAGACAAGAATAATAATCTTTACAGGGTCCAAAGTTAATAGAATCACAAAAAGTTAGTTGACAAAAAGAGTGCATAAAGACTCAGGGTCTAGAGAGGCCAACTCAGCAGCCTCCACTGCTCCCTCCAGGCTCTTGATCCAAAAAATTTACAGCAAGAAAGACCAAGTAGACCCAAGGAGATGGATGAATTGATTGGTTGGTGGATTGACTTGACTGATTGATTGAGACAGTCTCATGATGTAGTTCAGGCTCTCCTTGAAGCCATTATGTAGCCCAGGCTGGCCTGGACCTCCCAGCAGTCCTCCTGCCTTAGCCTTCCAAGTACTGGGAGGTACATGCCACCATGCTCAGCGATATAGGAGTATTTAAAGGAACAAATAATGCCCTTAGGTTACATGTATTGATCAGCAAAATTTCACTTTAATCTCCAGCATAGAAATTAACACTGAGACCTTATCTGTATTCAGAAGTCACACTTATATGACTCACAACACAGGACCTTATTTGTCACAATTCTCTCACTTATCCCCTCCCCACCTATCAAGAGACTTACGGCATTTCCCTGTAGAATCCAGACAATATTTTGTACGTGTTTGCCCTGCCTACGTTGTGTATGTTTTGTCAGAATGTATCAGGCAAAACCTGTTTTTACCCAGAGAATCATTTCATATACTTTCCACTGACAGTAGAATTTTTAGAGGGAGAGTCTCTTGGTTCATAATAGCAAAAATTAAAAGTTGCCAAAGCAATGCTTTGTAAAAACAAACCACCTCTGAGCAATGCACATGTTTTGTATTCATGAATCCTGCCCCTGATTACACATGCCAGTTGTTTTGTAACTAATTGCATGAGGTAGACGATCCATTTCCATGCATTGTAAGAGAACACTCTCAAAGGGGTACTTCAATGTAGTAATAATGCCAAGTGGAAATTCTTTTCAAGGCTTTTTATACTAATTAGACAAACTAACAAGGTAAGACCTCATGTAAGTTATTTCCTTGCTAGTAAGCTTCATAAAACATACTCGGGTGAATAACATATAAATTTAAAATGTTCCTCAATTCCTTCTGTACTGATTGTTATTTTCTGAGAAATGGAGAACATATTGAAGATGTAGGGAAAACACTTGGATGTCTGAAATTCCCTGTTTGTTTTCTACTAAAAGAGTCTGTTTATTCAGCAGCAAGCAAACCCAAATGCATAGATACATACACCCACACACAGTCTGGCTTGGTAAGTGTGCATTTACACACACACAAGTACACACACACAAGCATGTAAACACCCACACACACGCATACTTCCTTATCACCTTGACTGCTCCTGTCTCCTCATTGTGTTGCCTCGCAGTACAATGATAAAACCATGGATTATTCTCATTTTTTTTCTTGAGTATTTGGAGGTTTTCATGTTTGAATCCAGTTTTTCAGTCTAGCTGTTTGACAGGCAGTTTACTGGCAAGCAGTGAATTACTGTTTATTCACAGTATTGCCTTGGCCACAATTCTTTTCAAACCAACTATTCCTATGTAGAGAAGTATAATGGCACATATAAAATAAGTAAATACCATCTCAAGCCAGCACCTGGCATTTAGATGGATTCAGCAGTGTACTGTAAACTTTTAGCTGGTGTCAGCCTCTCACAGGTGCTGGGAGCTCACTGGTGCTCTCAGACTACTAGAAGTGTGAAGGATGACGGTCACAGAAGATAGATGTGAGAAAAACTTGCCTAGGAGCTTTCAAAATGCTGCTGGTGAGGTCCTGCCCAGAGATTCTGATCCAATTCAGCTCTGGGAGGGATGATCCTGGACATCTGGATGTTTTAAAACATTCCAGAGTGTTACAATACTCACCCAAGGTTAAGAACCACACAGTGAGGCACTCCTAGTGCTGTGCTTTGGGGAGCATTTTGACAATGCAAGGGAGGGTGATAATGTGGACACACGCTCGGATATAGCAATAGAAAAGGACAGACCCATGCGGAAGGTTTTTGTAATTTCTGACTTAATACAAAGCAACAAGCCAAAATGTAGACCTCATTGAGTGTTTGCTAAAGTGTCTTCCCAGGACCCCTGTCCATCAGACAGATGTATAATGACTTAAAAAAATTAACTTTCTGAACTTAACTCTTGGGGATAATTTAATACTCAGGGAGAGGAAAATAGAAGTTTCCACAGACATCATAGGTGGTGGAGCTGCTGCACACAAAATTGGAGAAGCTGCCCTTACCTTCACATTGTCAGACTGGCCCAAGTCCTGTGAGTTGGCAGGGATGCTGTAGTTGAGTTCTTCTCCAGCTCCTGCACTTTGGACCACAAGGGCTGAGCAAATGAGACCACTGAATGTGGTTTAGAGATAGAAACAAAAAAGCACCAGAATTTCTTTTAGACCAAAGCTAAAGATACAAGTAGGTCATTAAGAACAGTTTTTACCTGTCTCTCTGATCGATATGCTATGTGCTTAGACTGGATTGTGGAATCGTTACCTGGACATTCTCAGGTATACCCCACTTCTGGGTCCTATGTAATCTTTAAAATCCATACCCCTGTAGATATAGTTGGAAAAAGATCTCCTTATGGCTTTCACATGCTCCAAGCACCAACATCATGAGCAGATGATCTCCTCTTCTGCCCTGGACTCTCTGAGGTGGCAACTATGTTCTACTTGCCACTACTTCTCCATGATCCAGCATGATTCTTGGCCCACACTAGTTGTTTAATGTGTATTTGTTAAATTACTTCAAGTGAATGTGTGGAGACTAGCAGCAGGAAATTAATTTCCAAATGAGTTTTCCTGAAATCCCACAAACATATTTAGAATAATTTCTTCAGTTATCTCCTCAGAGATGAACAGTCATTTAATATGCCTAACCCCAAACTTAATCCAAAGGCTAAATCAGCTGAAAAGAAAATTGTAGACCCCTATACGACTGATTTAAATTAGACTATATGGGCTTTGGATTAGGAAGACTTGATTTTCATCGTTGTCACAGCCCTCCTCATCCTGTGGTATTTGGGGCATGTATTTATTTCTTTCTATTTATTATTTATTTAATTTTATCTTACAAGATTTATATGTGTAAAATATGTGTACATACTCATTCCTTTACAAATAAATCCTCCTACTCTTAGAGCATTCTTTTCTGTCTACCTGGAAAGGCATTGTGTCCTCTGAAGTCCAACCTCTCTGCTTCACACTTAACATTCACGGAATGACTACCAAGGCCTTGCCTTGGATGGTTTCTCTTCTTATATCTGTCATCTCATGCATTTGTCACAACTTGAGAGACGGATTGTTCCCCTCTTTTATCATTGCCCCTCCAGTCCCATGCATATCCGTGCATAACACCAGTCTGTAAACCCAAGTCTGTCTTGTGATTCTGGCCCAATATTCTTTCTGCTTTCCCCCAGCTGGCTCAGTACAGTAAACCAAGCCCAGAAGCATAAGAAATTCCTCGAAAGCACATTTTGAAAGTCTGGTTTTTGGCCAGATTTTTAAGTTACCTTGCTAACATGACATCTCCTTTGCTGGATGAAATAGCACATCAGGGTATGAAACAAAGCAGCCATGCAGGAAGAAAGCAGGAGGCCTGCTGAGTTCCTCACACCCACCAGTGACATCCTGTAGCTCCCAGCTCTCCACCCGATGGCTCAACTCAGTTCATTCAGCCTCAGGAACATTTTTAAATCAAACAATAGACCATTCAGCAGCCCCACCTTCTCCTCTTTCTGCCTCCCCTCCCAGGGAATTGCCTGGGGAGACCATAGCATGGAAAGCCTGGGGAGGAAAAGCTAACTCTTAAATTGGCAGATCAAGCAGGTGTCAGAGGAGCTGGCTTATCTGACAGAATTCTTACTGAGAAGACAGTAAGCTATGAGTGGCTGTCCTCCTGGGCATCTTGTCTCACCTGCCACCAGGCTCCACCTCCTAGGAGCAAAGTGGGGAGGTCCACAGAGAACTGGGGGAGGTTGTAACAAAAGCCAGAGGCTTAAGGGCTGTCATCTTTGCTCTGTATGTGTCTCAAGTCCCTCTGGCACAGCCCAGCTGCTATTTTTCCTTTCTTTGGAGAGAAAGTTGGCAGGGGACACTGCAAGTTATTTGTTCTCATTAGCTGGCCCTGCTGGTGAGCGGGTATGTGACTATTTGTAACCCAAATGCTTAGGGCATGTTGCTGGAACATTATGGGCAGGGGCCCATTCCAGGTATCATCTTGTGAATCTATTAGAGGTTGCAGGCACAAGCTCCAAACAACTGTTCTATTGAAGCATCTGGGAAGCTTGGCTGTTAAATGTAGTAACAAAACCTAGGAAACTGTCTTTATAGATAGTATGGAGAAAAGCATTTGTACAGCTTGCTTGTTCTTCAACAAAGAACCTGTGAGTCCTTCTGGGCAAGATAACCCCATGTCAGCAGGAAAAGAAATAATATATTAGTGTATCTTTGTTCAATTTTCAGGTAGAGCAAACAATTGTCCAAAGTACATGCCCAAAGGAACTATGTCAGATATAGAGTCTGTAGGCCTATAGGGCAAGTGCTTGGATTGCAAAGATATAACACATTTCCTCCTGTGGGCTGTTACAGTTAGGATATTACTCTGTGTCTCCTATTAAATCATGGATAGAGCTATTTTATGTGACCACTGTTACACAGAATGACTTAAGTGAGCGACCAGTTTGGGGGAAGAAAAGAAAATATTAATATTAGGCAGTTTTATGAGAATATAAATCAAATCCAAAGTTTGAGATAAAAAAGTAAATTATTTATGGTATGAATTAACTTTGGTGCATTTTTCCTGATTCAACCCGCATGGATACTTCAATTCTTTGTTTTATTAGCCAGCAATAAAACAGATGATGTATTGTTTGACTTTAAATTCTCTGCTACTTAGAATTGGAATGAAATGTTTAAAAAATTTGTGTGGGTTGAATCACTTTTCACTGTTGTGGTCAATACAAATAGTTAAAGCTAAAGCACCATTTAATGAAAGTATGATTTATTCTTATATATGATAGCTTCTGGCTTTTTTCTCCAAAACTGTAGTTATTTTCAGTAAAACACCTTTTTTATTTTACATCAACAAAAGTAAGTTTGGAAAGTTTCTGATGGGGAAAAATTTCCTCTTGAATAATAAATTAGGGACAATCTAATTCTAGTCATTTACTGCTTATGGTGTGAATGCCCCTTAACCAAAAGTTGATGACAGCCTGTTAAATTTTGTCTGAAAATTATTGGTAGCTAACTGTTGTCAAGGATGTGCTATTTTGTCCATATTGAGCCAAGAAACAATTAAGCTCATGAAAACATTCTTACTATAATCTGTTCCACTATACCAAACAGGGAAAAAAAGCACAAATAGTTTCACATCACCAAAGATAAATTTGTCAGGAAGAGAAAAACAAAATGTAAGTCTCACAATTTTGAATTGAGTGTGAGTATCACTATAGTGATAACATGTATATCATGTTATGTTATAATTGTGTAATTGTAATTCCCAACCCGCAACCAGTTACCAGATAATACCAAATCCTAGTCATTTTGCCTGCCAAATAGATTTATAGAAAATTTATGCTGAATAAATGAAAAAAGTAAAGCACGGAAGTACTGTATGTCAAGATATTTCAGTATTCTGACTCAGTCTTCAATGTTATCATTTTCATAGTGTTTATAGTGAAGAACACCACTTAATTAGCCTATCCACCTTGGTTTTTATGAGCAGCAACCACGTAAATACATAGCTCAAAGGTTATGATGAAGTTTAAATTTCTCTCTCTATATATCTATATCTAAATCTGTATCATCTATGTACATATGCAGTACACAAGCTTAATTCGTCCCACAATGCTGGGGAAGATGGTGGACTTCATGTTTGTGCAGAAAAGATGGCCGAGGTCATGTTCCTCACCCAATGTGGAGTTCTCAAATGGAAGGAAAATTTTCCCAAATGGTTATGTTTGTAAACTAAATTGTTTTCAAGCAAGCAAAAGTGTTCATGAACTGAAGTATTACATGTATGTATGTATGTGTGTGTGTGTATATATATATATATATATGGAGAGAGAGAGAGAGAGAGAGAGAGAGAGAAATACTGAATAATTATGTGGAGAAAATGCCAGGTCATTGAACTATCACATTATTGATATTGGTAGCCTTTAATTTGAATAGCATCCCATGCCCTCTCCTAAAACAGTCCCTAAAAAGCAACAGAATGGCAAGATTAGTATAGATTAATCAAGGTTCACATCTTTGAGCTGAGGAAGAGCCCAGCTTTCCCTGTGTCCTAAATTGCCTCATGCCTAAAGAAAACTAGAGTTCTGTTAATACATTAGAAAGAATTATGTTTGGTTGTATACTGGAAGAAACTCAAAATAATAGCATTTTCTTTCTCACATAGAAGTTCAGAAATAAACAGTACAGCCCAATGACATCATCAAAGTCAGGCTTGTCCTATTCTTCTGCCCAAACATCTGCACTATTAGACTTCCATTTTCCAGGTAGCTACTGAAGCTTCAGCCATCACTTTCATGCCCTGTACAAGAAAAGGAAGAAGGTGGCAGCCAAGCCTCCTTCTTTGTAGAGACATCTTGTAAGCTTAAGAAAATAGTTCGGTTGTATCTTATTAGCTAGAACTTTGTTACATGGGGACAAGTAGCTACATCGGAGACAATGAAATATAGTTGGATGCAACCAGCCAAAAAAAAAAAATTGGGTTTGTTACTGAGGAAGAAGGGGAAAATGGAGTTGGAGTAAATAGTTGACAGACTGTTTCACAGGTGGCAGCCACAAGAGGATGGCATAAGTGAAAACAGTGGAGAGAAGCAAGGAAACCAGGAAACTTGTGTTGTCCTCAGTCTTGACCATTCAGCTTTATTGCAAGTAATTTAAAGCAGTGAAATACTAGCAAAGAAATAGGAAGGAGAGGCAAAGGACATTGTAAATCAGCAAACTATAGAAGCTGTGTACAGATAATTAGGAGTGTATTTTGCACTGTATCATTTTTTAGTCTTCTTGGGGGTACTTTACATATGAAAGGATATTATTTTTCCAAATATGGAAATGTGAAAGTCAAGGTATGAATGATCTTTCCAGCTGAACCATGTTAATTAACAACAAGGACACCTTTGGAAGTAGCAAAGTATTACCTACAAGGATAGGCTTATTATGAAAAGAGAGATTTTCTTGAAGTAGAGGAAAGAGGGAAATGAGGAGCTAATTAGCCACGGTAAGCTCTGTGAAACATATTGGTAAATTAGAGTTTATGCATATAAAGTCTTATTATATAATAAATGGCAACTTTCCTTCCTTGTTTTTTAAAGGTAGCCAACCAAGTTGTTCAAGCTCTGCTCACTCAAAAGGTAGGTCACTTTTTACCTTTATTTTTTTCTAAGTACTTATGTGAATAGACTACAACTCACATTGTCAAACTACAAAATTGTGATTGATAGGTCCAATACTTTTCTATTTATTCACTTAGGCTAAAACCACGTGTGTTTTATGTGGCCTATGAAATAGCAACAATGAATGTCCACTAGAATTGTAAAATTCAGACTGGATAAAGTAGTAGAAAGCCTTTTAAAAATGAAAGCTCTCCATATACTCAAATGAATAAGAGACCCATCATTTTCATTTAGTGAATACAAACTTTAAAATGTTAGTAGGTTCTTCTGATTTCTATGAAATGAATATTCAGCAAGAGGTCTTATAGGTTAAAGAAGGGATTTCATTTCTCTGAGTCTTAATTTATTTTCTATAAAGTAGAAATAACAGGTCCCCCCACCCCAAATTGCTGTGGTTCTATGAAAGGAGGAGCATAGAGCATTTCTGTTAGGAGTCACTTTGTGGTAAATATCAAATAAATGGTAGACGCCGTGCATGAAATTTCTTTACCTCCTTTTTGCTGCCTCTGCATTCTGCCTGCAGACAATGTAAGACCACGTTATTGGGCAGAGTGGTATAACTCATGTCATTGTTTGACTGTATTTGGCTGGTTTGATGAATTTATTGAATGTCTCCTGTCTTTTGCAGTAATACCTCTCAAAAACTGAGCTCTAGGCCCCGCAGATTTTGTTTCTCCTAATTTCTCTTTCTGTGAAATGGAGACTTCCTTTCGAAAAGGAAATCTCCGATCACATAGCATGTTCAGGAGGATCTAACTAACAAGAGCAAATCTTGTGCCATCTTGAATGTTTTATTTGAAAAAAATTTTATCAGAGCTTAACTACTTATCGTGGAAATACTTAAATGTTATCTTAATACATGCTGTATAGATATTGTAATGACATTTTTGCTAGACCTCTTTCCTATTTTGTCAAAATTTCATGTCTCTACAAATAATTTTAACTGCTTCAGGTTTTACACTAACAATGAATAAATAAAGAGATTTAGGTACACGTATATGGAGTTAGACTTAGGTTCCATTGTAACAGAGAGGCAAAAGAATGGTGGCTTAAATAATGTAAGATGTTATAGCTTTCTCAGATATAAACTTATAGGTAGTCAGTACAAGGTGGATGTGGTAGCTATAAGTCCATAGGGTCTCTGGCTTCTCTAGGGTCTTCTAATAGTTCAAAGGAGCTGCTCTTCCTCTGGTCATCAAACCCATATTATAACAGAAGAAAACAACAGTAACCACAACAACCAAACAAGAGTAAAGAGCATATTCTAGCTTTCTTTTAAGGAGAACTCTTAGATGTGTTGAGAGGTCCTTACTTACATCTCCTTCAAGAGTGCTCAGTCATACAGCCACATCTGTGGAAGCTGTAAAGAAGTCCTTATGCTGAATATGTGCCCATCTGAAAATTACTCGTCGTAGTCCTGTAAAAAGACGTGAAAATAAAATATTACAGGATAATTCACAACTTCTGCCATAACATATTTGAATGCCTTTTCTCTTTCAAAGGCTTTAATTTTTCAATTATTTTCTTTCTGTTGAAAACTGTGCTTATTTTATTATAAAACTAAGGAAGGAAGAGAGCTGATAACAGCTCTGTGTGCAAGTAATGAAATACTTCCCATGTCTGTGTCTAATTGTGCCTCAGGAAACAGACAGAGAAGTCATCTAGTATAATAAAAAGGAAAACAGGGCTCTTCAGGTCAGCCACAAAAAAGTAGTCACCTCACTCCAAGCTAGTAAACAGGTACAACTACTTTGGTACCGTTAAGCTGTAAGACAGACCTGTTACTGTGAGACAGTATTCCTCAGGGACGCGAGAAGGTGGGGAGAGCTGCTGTCAGAGATTCCAAAATAATCATGTTCTGAGAAACATGTGCTTCTTCGTGTCTGTAGGGCTGTAAAATTGCTGCAAAAAGACAAAACCTTCTTTTTAATTAATGGCCCAACATAGAAAATAAAATGTACCCAAATTCAGATGAGACAACTAATTCTAAAGAGGGATGCAGTTAGCATAGAGTAAAACCAAAAACTTTGAATGATTAATCCAAGTCATACATACACACAACTTCATGAAGTAAAATTATAAGCAAACCCTCCAGTTTTCAAATGTATCATTTCTTCTGACACAAAGACAATCTGCCATGCCTTCAACTCTTCAGTAGGCAACCAGAAAAGCATTTTCATGGCATGTTACAAATTGGCCCAGACTGGTAAGTAAAAGTGTCTTCCAATACTGATTGAGGAAAAACAACTTTGTTTCCATCCACATATCATTTCTTGTTATGTATACATATTCTGTCCTGCTCAGGCAATTCAATTTATCATCAAAGCCTCTGAAATCAATTAAAAGATCTAACTGTACTCCTCTAAATCAGTAATGCTAAACTGACAATGTGAAAGCCAGCTCACTTTCATTTAAACCTCCAAATCATAGGCTCACAGATGCAAGTGAAATCAGTAATTCAGGCTAAAGTCATGTTTTTTTGTGAAATACATTTTATCATCATTAAATCCATTATATTGCTGAAAATGCCACTTTCCTAGCATCTTCAGTGTTTTGGCCATTACCACCAAACTTGGAAGAAAAGCATTTTTCCTACAGTAAATTTTCCTCCAAATAAACAAGCTCAGCCTTATCTGCATGTTAGTACAGTAACTAGACATTTACATGGCTTTTTGTCCTTCACCAAGATGGAATTGAGCTGGTGTAGGACAGAATCCAGCAGTACAATCATTCGAATAGAAACAAAACAATTTTGTAGCTTGACAGAATTCCAAACTCCTACATATTTCCCTTGTAGGAGAGGCAGTTGGACCATCTGTGTCCACTTCTGTAGCCATGGTCTGTGTAGAATCTGGTTCCTGAAGGAGCTCTGCTTATATTTACTGGGCATTGATAAGCAGTCACACTCAGTGCTTATAATGCACTAAGTCACGTTATTCCTGTTTTAACCCTGTAAGGTGGGAATACAAAGATAATTTTCCCATTTCTGGGAAGTGATGGAGCCCATACACAGTTTTACCCCCTTCACTATTTTTCCTCCCCAATCTTATTCAGTCACTTACAGGCTTTCCCCACTGTAGGTCTATGGAGCAGAGAGGGGTTTAATGAAAATCAACACAGAGATTGAAACGGAATGGTTAGTTATGCTTGCAGATAATAAAAGAGTAAGAGAGTCATTGGACCTCGGCAAACTTTCAGAAACATTGCTGGATGTCTCCAGCAAGAACATTCAGACTCTGACATATTTAGAATAAAACTGTAACTGTGGAGTCAAGGTATCTCAACATTGATCTTATTTGGGACCCTAGAATTTCACAATGGCCAGGGACCTTTGTGAATACATAATCCTGAGATTGTCAGCTAGCATTGGTAAGGGTTCAGTTCCCTGTAATCTCAGAAACTGTTCCACCACCACTCAGATTTAAAATGATTGAACATTTGAAGACCTTTGGGATGCAGACGTGCAGTATCCAGTCTGTCACAGGACTCGTTACTTCCTCAGCAGTATCCTGATTCGGTCATAAATGAGTCATAAATGAGTGATGCTGAGGCCTTTGGTTAGAATAAGAAGTGACCAGCCTTTCCCAGAAATGTTTCTTTCTAAAGAGGTCTTAGTATCCTTTGTAGATATCAGTTTAAGACCCTGGAGATGTGACAACAAAAGCCTGGAGAGTGTGGCAGCCCTTAAGTTTCAGGGAACTAACAAGATGATGCCTGACACGCTACCCATGAAGCAGGTGAAAAATTTGATGACTTGAAATAAACAGTTCTATGCATTACCTCAGTTTACCAATGAGGAAATTGAGACCTATTTAGAAAAATCCACTTCATCAAGGTCATGTGGGTAAGGCAGATCAGAACACAGCCTTCTACCTATAGTCTGCTCTATCCCCATGATAGACACTGCCTTTAAGTATGCTGTTATAATATTTTCAGATGATAAAGTCAGATTTAAATAGTTTTCAACAGGACTCCAGTAATAATGTCAACATATGTCCTGCTTTGAAGCTATCAGCATTTTCTTAAATTGACTTCAACCCATAGCTCATACTGGTTTTGCATTTTACATGCACGAAATAATTGTAATCCCACAGGAATTATGTATCAATGGGTCCAAAATCCTCTTCAGCCCAGGAGCAGTTTACCTGGATTCCAATGAGTGGTACCGCTGAGGAAATTATGGTTTGAGATTATTAAGGCAGATGGGGCCCTTTAGGCCAGTGTGTCACTTTGCTCAGTCTCAGTAGTGACACCGTAGTCTCTATCTCCAGTTCATAGTGACATGCACATTGCAAGGATAATGGATCTGACTGTTTTCCTAAACCCAAAGGCAATTGTACTTTCTCGAATGTGGTCAAATCTTTGACATTATTTCCCCGTGGAAAAATTAAACATGATATCTCCTTTCTTATCAGAAGACACAACCTTTTTTCTTTTTTTCAGTTAGCTCCATCTCTCGAGGCCTGAGACATAAGGAGTCATCGAAAAAAAAGGTTCTGAGAAAGAACAGATGATCCAGCCTGTGCCTCAAGACATGATCTCAGACTGTGGGATCTAAACGAGAAACATATTTCATTTCTACAGCTTTACTGGGGAGGCTATTCTAGGTCTTGCCCCTGTAACTCAAAGTCAGGAGAGTTGCTCTGGTACCCAGCCTATGTATTTCATCTGTTCCTTTATGTTGATGGGTTCCTGTTGTGAGCACAGGGAAGCAAAGACAGCCAGCTGCCACCTCTTTGCAGCTGTCTTAGTAGCAGTTAGAGTTGTTTTTCTCTCTGTGCCCACTCTAGTTGTGTTTATGTGTGGACACATAGGCACACATGGAATGGAAAATATCGGGCACAGTGACCATGCACTGCTTGAGTGAACATAGTAGACTATCAGAAATAATACAAGCAATTCTTGTCTGTCTACCGGTTTTCAGACCAGCTGACTGAGGCCAGCATGATGAACTAACTGAGAGCTCTCAGAGTTGCTATGTTGTGTTCCCACTCATGAGCTTTTACTATGCCTTAAGTAATAGTAGCGATCATGGATTTTCTTCTTTTTATTTTATTATTTCAACCCTTTGAAATTTCCCTTAGTTTTGCTATTGTGAGTGCTATTACTTTCAGGTCCCCCTTTTCCTTGCAGATCCACCCCTGTATGTTTCTGTTTCTGTGTCTCTACCTGCAGATGAGAATGATTGTGTTTTCCCAACAAATAGATAGTATTAATATTTATCTACCCTACAGTCAAGTTTTATTAATTACTTAATTAGTAGTAGTGAAAACAATTAGTGTTGGGGAACAGAGAGTGTTATTCACATGCTAAGAGCAAAAATTAGCATAAGTGAGAGGAAGGCAGAGATTGAATTCTAAAGAAAGCAAATTTAGCCTTTTAATTTGTATAAGGAGTAGGCCCCAGGAAGGCCTCTGCCAAATGAGTAAGTTCAAATGTACACTCCTGCTTCCACCTCTCTGGGTCTTGTTCCTAGGAGCACCATTCCAAACATGACTTTTCTTTGCTCTCCTTTACACCGTAGGCCACAAATCAGCTGAAAACATCTTGTACATGAGCATCTCCCCTTTAACTAAAATGAGTGAGGAACATATAGACAAAGCAGTGAGCCCCACTGTGGCCTGTCTCTTCGCGCCCTTTAAATAGAATTAATACTATATTCAGGATATGGTAGTACATACTCACACATAACCTGGCAGCTAGACCTTTCTAAATTCACAGGAGCTTGACACAAGGTTATGGCACAAACACACTTACCTCTGTAACTACCATTTAGGTGCTGGGCATCGGAGTTATCCCTGGTGCTATCCCTTGTTTACAAGGCTTAACTAAAGCCTACAGCTGCCCCATGTCAAAATATAGAGATGCACAAAATAGAAGTGTTGAGAATCTGGAACTTTGTATCACACCAATCACTACAAAATACAATTTGTCTTCATCATCCTCTCCAGCAAAATAATTACACACTTGTATTAAGATCCTACCAAAAGTGGTGCAGTGCCGGATGCTAGAATGCAAAGAAGATAAGAGCAGTATACTTCTGTGGTTGTTTATGTTGAAATCTTTTGCCAGTCTGTGGAGGAATGTGGCATGTAATTGAAAAGATTAATCTGGAGGACAAATAATGAAATCCATACCAAGTAGGGTATGCTAAACATTGTAAAGAGACGTTGAGGGCTCAGTGGAGTTTGGGAAAGGGAGCAGACTTTGGGGGATGCCAGGGAAAGTGGCAGGGTGGTAATAAAGTTTGAGTTGGACTTCAGTCATTTGGCCAAACATGGTCTGTAAGAAGGGAAAGTGATGGTGGAAGAGGAAAGAGGCCAGCAGAAATGCGGAGCTTTCAAGAACAACAAGCAGAGCTTAGTTCTCTGTACTGTAAGAGCAGAATACATTTTTAGAACACTGGGAAATAGTGAAAGACAAAGTTTTGAAATGTAGAAAAGGGTCAGCTTCTGAAGAACTTTTAGTTGAGGACTTATTCTACTGGATCAAAGCGGGTGGAGACATTTAAATACCGCACATAACTTTATCATAGGTGAGAAGGAAAGGCAGCAACTTGGGCTTGCAGGAAACCCTTGAGCTCCAGTGTGTCAACTCTGGAGAATAGTCTGTCCTGAGGCAGAATTACTCAAAAGAGCTGCTCCAGGCCTCATGCATCAGCCTCAGTACAGCAAAGCAAACAGAAACCCTGCTGCAAAATGCTGCTGAGGTGGCCTATCTATACTTCTTCCCTGGCACAAAAACCAAAACCCCCATGAAGATACAGAAATCCACTGGCTCATAGGATGAGCGAGTTACAGGTGGCCTTTTACCCTTCATTTACCTCACTTTATTTACCCTTTTCCTACTAAATGCATCGCTGACTCTATTAGCCATAGTGCCGAGAATCTCAGCTCATTTCC